ATGGAAGGAAACCGACCTAAGTACAGACTGAACACTATTGTTAGAGTCAATAAATGAACTTTATTGCCCGACAGTTGTACATTGTACAATGTTGGCACAAGTTCAATGTGAGCAATACGATAGGTCTATTCTAAGACACTACTTCAAAAAATATAAATGTATTGACATAATGTACGTTACGATTATTACAGAGCTTTCTCTTTGTAAGGCACCACATTTATATTTTGGCCTAAGTACCAGGAATTGTGCCAAAGGATTTACACGAATTATACGGAATGCATACGATCCATTATTAGAAACATACGAATTCTATGGAATCCATACGATCCATTAATAGAAACGAATCTTACGGAATACATACGATCAATTACTTGGAAACATACGATCCTTGCTACATAAATTCGGTGACGTGGGCCACTACCACGTGACATCCGCGACGGATCGACGGCGAACTCTAGCGAAGTTATGTGTTTTCCTTTCTCCCTACAATATTTTTGGCTTAAAGAACTTTAAGGGTTTATCATGTCCTGCTAAAAACCAGAAACCTAAATCTGCACTTAAGTGGGCTTCGTTAGCGATATATTCGCCTGTATTTTAGACCAAAATTTTAGCAGGGCGAGACAAAGAATCGGTGTTAAAACGTAATACTCATAACGTTACCAATATTTTCAACAAATCTTGAAGCAGCACTCTAGATACGATCCGATAGTCGCGACGGTTATGGATAGCGATTATCGGAGTAACTAGAAAGGCCGAGATTTGCTTTGGAGCAAATTCAGCATGGCTTCACCACATTTTACGACATGGCAGGAACTGAGAAGGAGAATACAAGGGAAACAGTGTTTCACATCGATATAAATATAGTATGAAGTGACATATAACTAAGAATGCAACAGTTGGATAGGTATCCCCTACATCATTGATTAGTATTTTCATTTGCATAATGCAAACTGTTGATTTTCAAGATAGAAAAGCGTTTATGCCCCACATTCCAATGCTTGAGCAGGAAAGTTTGACATACCAACCAAAACAATTCAATGCAGTACCTACATTTAATATGGTATGCAGCTGTTCGTGGAGTTAACTCAATCAAATTCCAACAGCCAATGAGCAGGAAGATTAGAAGAAAGCTGCATGCCTATTGGTTCTTGCTCTGCATGCCAGACTGATGACTCATTGATAGGCATCCCCAACTATATCATATGTTGTGACCTAAAAACGGCCAAAAAATCCCAAATTATACAAGTTTCAGGGAGAGTATGTAAAAATTTACAATTAATTGTTGTTGGTAGATATATGAAGCATACCCATACCAAATGTCAGATGATTTGAGTGTAATACCTGGTCTCCAGGACCCAAAATGTACAGATTTTGTCCAAAAATAGCCAAAAAGCCCAATTTTACACAATCTTTAAGTAGTGTATCAACTTTATACCATCAATAACAACAATAAACATCAACACAAAAAAACTACCATATATATATATATATAT